CATGCCCACCACACAGTGCTTTTCCTCCAAAGCCTTCACAGACTTCTTACCACTTACTAACAGACTCAGTTTCCCGAGTTCAACTTTAAAATCACTTGAGGCCAAAGGTCCCCTTTGCAATGTGTTTCTTTCCACTTGGCACATAGTCCTGGTTAGTCCTGGTTATATTTTTCTGGGATTGACTGATTAAACTTAGGGCTTGACTGGTTAAACTTTATTTTCAGAAAAAAACATTATCTTGATATACAAGTCACACAAACTTTGAACAAGGTAGTAGTTACTAATGTATAACCCAACTCTTAAGAACAGAGCCTAGATCAACTAGAGACTGCCTCCATCACAAGGGACTTCAGTTGCAGCTTCATATATATATATACATATATATATATATCAAAACCAAAAAAAACCCCAAAGTTCCCATCCAATTCTTAACCTCATATACAATGCCTTTAAAGTCAGAAATTGAAGTCTAAAATATTGTTAATGAAGACAGTAACAAACATGGATAAAAAGATCATCAGATCAGTAACCTGTCAGCGCTATGATTTTCTTTTTGTCCCTCTACTTCACAATGAAGGTTTTTCTTGGCAACAGGGAAATAACAAGGAATAAATTATTCTTCTTCAAGTTAATGTTCTTTTATACACATACATTCAAAAGTGAGTATTTTTGATTGTCAGTGGGAGAAGCTTAAGCACACGATGACAATTGATTGGTCATCTCAGAGTCCTTGTTACCCCAGAGCATGACTTCTTTCTCAGATCACTTAAATCAATCGTCGTTTGGGTTTTGGCCATTCCGAATATGGTGATGGTTATAAATGATCTTCTGCATCAGGTGCTGAGCTGCTGTGCTCAAAAGATGAATTGCTTCCTCACTGGAGGAACCCAGTATTCAGGCACTATTTTTCTAAATGTTAGAAGTGACTGGTATGGACCATTATATTGGGGATAATCAGCAACATGGGCAGTGGACATGTTTTTATATAGAACTTGATTTAAAGATCTCAGGAAAAAGAATTCAGGATATGTATGAAGAGGTCTTGACTAGAATGTTAGCAGCATGCATACCTGCTGCCTGGAAACAGAGGTTAAATTTACAGGACTCTGATTACTATACTGATGGCCTCTGCCCGTGAGGGACCTCTCTGTCACAGGAAGATGAATGTAGTCTTCCAGGTTACTGTTCAGATGTGTCCTCTTGGGATAACTGCATACCTCCAGGCCCATTCCAATTAATTCTTGAGATGAACTAGAGTTTCAAGTGTTCAGGGCCTTCTATCCACACTGGAAGATCACTTGGGAATATCCCAGGGGGTCAGTCAGATTGGTCTAGGGACATAACAAATGAAATGACCAATAACTCACAGTCTCTATCCATTTCCTCCTGACAAATGATTAATGAACAGCCTACAGTCAAAGTCTGAGATACATAGTCAATACCTGGTCTATTTTGTGATTCAAGATAAATGATGCTCCAATTTGTGTCAAGTGACAAATGATAACTAAATTAGCATCACCATTTTGGCTAATTACCTTGTTACCACAGCCACCATTATCATGCCTCTTTTACTGAATAGCCATAGGGAGGCAGAGGCTGAGCTGTAAACTTCAGGGAATACCACAGGAACATGTGGGGCTCCTGTTCTCAAGAGTGTAAATTCACCTTGCACTCCTATAAGTTTCCCAAAGACCTCAAACAATAGTGATTAAGTAGCACTTAAAACTCAATGCAAGCCAGAAGTAGTGACACAAGCCTGTCATTCCATCACTAAGGATGCAGAGGCAATAGAATCCAGAGTTCAAAGCTAGTCATACCTATGCAGGAAGTTCCGATTTGTAGATTGATTATTACTCTATACAGATAAAGAAATACAAATCACTAAGGTCATTTGTCTGAGGTTCCTGAAGTAGGAAGATGTGGAACTAAGGCTTAAAACTAGACCAGTTACAACTGGAGTTGAAACTAAGCATAGAGGTGATGTTCCTGGTCCTAGCCCTCAGTAGGTTGGGGCATTGGGTTGAAGCATTATGGCTTCCACACCAGCTGGACCACACTACCTAGATGTTGATGGTAGTGATGCTGATCCAGAATTCATAAGCTGGAGAGATGGTTCAGCCAGTAAAGTGCTGGCAATACAAGCATGAGGATCCTAGTTTGATTCCACAGAACCATTAAAGATGCAGATGTGGTATTACATGCCTGGGACTCAAGCCCAGGTGGAGACTTTCATGGTACTGAAAGTTCACATTCAACTAGATTTGATGTTGGTTAGGCTGAGGGAGCCTTTTGTCTCCACCACCCAAGTGCTAAGGAAATAAGGTACACGGTGGGCATCACACCAAATGCCTTTAATCCCAGGACTTGGCAGACAGAGACTGAGGCAGATCTCTGTGATTTCAAGGCCACCCTGATCTACAGAGAGAAGTCCAGAACAAGCAGGACTATATAGACTGTATTTCAAAAAAATTCCCTAGCCTTCACACACACACACACACACACACACACACACACACACACACACACACACACATACACACACACACACACCACAAACCCTGACTTTTGTAAATATTTTCTATGTCCATTGACTTTGCATCCATTCTTTCAGTTAGTGGTCACAACTAAGTGAACATGGGCATGTATTTAAAACTATTTAAAATGTTTCTACTTGCTGTCTTCTACGCTACCAGGAGTTTTGTTGTTGATGCTGTTGTGAAAGCAGAAACAGTCTTAGAAAGACATGAATCTTTTTATAATTCAGAATGCAATTAATTCTTTTTTGGAGAGTAAGGGAGTTTATTTTAATTTGAAATTCCAGGTTATAACATACCATTGTGGAAAAGTCAGGGCAGGAACTTCAAACTTTAAGGGCTAAGAGATCTGCGGCAGCCCCTACCCAGGATCCCAAAGGTGAAATGCTGCTCAGGAGTGAAGGTGTGTGTGTGTGTGTGTGTGTGTGTGTGTGTGTGTGTGTGTGTGTGTGTAAGATTTCTCTAGTAACTTCACACACAATCTGAGGGTCATGCTCTTTATTTCCTGTTCTTTTAATTGTTTTGTTTCTACATGAATCATCCTGTCCTACTTCTAACTTTTCCATGCTCCTTCTAGCTCCCTCTTCTATTCTAAAAACTCTTCTCCTTCAGGATCCTTGAAGTGACAGAGAAGTTTCTCTCATTGGTCAAAAGCACATTCCTAGTGCAAGCGATAAGGAACTGAGCCATTTACCATGGCAACGCAAGGGTCCAAGGCCATAGAAGCAAAACTATGACCAGACAGGGAGTCTTTGGGACCAGACAGTGCCCAATGACAACTTTAGGACACAGATCTATTGTTAGAAGACTGGCAAGTGAAGAATTAGCATGCTTTTCTTAGTAACCTTGGTAGACATCTGTGACTCTGACCTTGTGCAAGCTGTGAAGTTTTCTTTTTACAAAAGCCTTTAGTCTAGTTGGAACTTGACCTGAGGTGAAAAGAGTTGATTGCGTGCAGTAGTCTGAGCAAGAGAACAAGGCAGGCTGTTAAGAGTTAACACTGGTTAACACCTGCTGTATCTCTCATGGCCCCTGACACAAACTAGTCACATCATACCCATAGCCAAGACGTGAGAGAAAAGAATGCGTATATACACACTTGCTTCCTTGTACTCATCTTTATCTCTCCACTTTTATACAGCTCAGAACACCCTAACTAGGGAATGGTTCTGCCCATAGTGGGTTGACTCTTCCCACGTCCATTTATTAAGACAGCGCTGTACAGACAGACCCGGAAGCCAATGTAATGTAGATCATCAATCCCTCCCTGAGCCTCTCTTTCCAGGCGATTCTAAGTTGTGTCACTCCTACATACTGACTTCAGGTCACATTTTGCAGGAAAAATTGCTTTCAGCTAATACCACAGACAGAAATAATAGTCCTGCCGTTAACACGGGGCTTAAAAGTTAACATTTGGGCTTACTTGGATCTTAACAAGTCTTAAGTGTTGGTATCTCCGGTCTGGTGTAGAATCTTGCAACTTTGCCTTCTTCCATCGTGCGTTAATGGAGTGAAGTACTTCCCTTAAGAAACCAGCAACTTGAATGATTCTGCCAAGAATTATTTTTCTGATCTGGTGGGATCAGATCCATCCTGCTGTGAAGAGGAAGACAAGGAGGAGGACACCCTGATTCTTGTTGACAGAAGAATTTGCCCTACTCTACTTAGGAGATATCTTACTCACCCTGCCCCTGATAAGGAAGCCAGTTCTTCAGGGACTTTGTCAGCTGTGCTGTAACCAGCGTCGTGTGTCCACCTACAGTTGACTTGCAAGCTGCCTATAGCACTTTGGAATGAGAATTCAATTCGGAAACAATCACAACTAACTTCCAAACAGGCTTGGAGGACTGGTGGGCGGGACAAGAACCTTGTATGCAAATCTTTAAGCCTGTCTACAGCAGGGGGCAGTGAAGAGGCGACCTAATCTTTGAGCAGGACTAGAAGTCCAGTGGTTAGGACTCTCAGGCGCCAACAACCCTTTAAGGAGGAAGATGCTGGGAAGGGTAGTGTTGCTTGTGAGGCTTTTCTACTCCACGTACTAAGAGTTTATTCTTCAGACTCTCCCTAGTTCTCGATAACCTCGGACAAATAAGAGTTTAAAAACAAACAAAAAGTCTTCTTCGGCTGGTCCAGGACACTTTGCACAAACTCTCCCAACAGCACTGAGGTCAATGCTATGCCTTTAAGAGAGGGGTGATTGCGGGGCTCCTGACTCTCTGGGAAAGGTTTAAAACAATAGGCCAAAGGAAAACTGCATACTTCTCCCAGAAAGGGAGCAGTATCCGCGACATTCGGCAAGCATCTGCTGTAGTTAAAACCTGGGGTGGAGGAGCCAGCGCCTGGAGGCTGCCCGGAGGCTCCCCTGCGTGTGCTCAGCCACTCACTGCAGGTCCCAGCTGCTCCGAGGCTGGCCGCTGGCGGGAAGAGCCTAGGAAACCTAAGACGCTGCTGCCTGATCCACAGCTCGGCGGTGGCCTTTCCCTTCCTTTTCTTCTTCTTTCTTTTCCCCCCTCCTACAGAAATCAGTCACCCCCTCCCTTTGCCCCACGCCTCCACGCAGGATCCTCCCACTCCGGCGCCTAAAGCGTTAACCCTGGAGCGTCCGGCACCCCTACCACTAGCGCCCAGGGTTCCTAAAAAGGAAAGGTACAAGGTTGGTCCAGATGAGAATAGAGAGATCAAAGGCAGGGCACACTTCCTGCTACCCAGACCTTATATAAAACGTCATGATCGCCTTGGCTGCAGAGACGCACCTAGCACTGCCCCGGCGGCTGCAGCCTGAGGTTTCCCCGAGGACCACAATGAACAAGAAGCTGTGCTGCGCCCTCCTGGTGGTAAGTCGTGGGCAGGAGGCTGCTGGCCACCTGGGCTCGGGACCTCCTCTGGCTGATGGGGACCAAGCCGGGCTCTCTCCAAACTCCAGGAAGCCTTCTTCTAGCTATGCCAGGCTGTTCTAGGGGGTGAGTGGCTTTTCCACGTAAAGGTTCTGCGGAGTTTATGCGGAGGGAAGAGACACAGCGAGTGGAGACAGACTTTTTGTTTGATTTTACCCATTTTATTTACATTATTTATTTACTTACTTAGGCTTTGTGTGGTGCACCATGCCTTTTCTTGACCTAACTTTTTTATTACAGCAGGTGAAGCGGACTACGTTAGGAAGAGAAGGTAGACTTTTTGAAACTTGTATAAAACAGTTTGGATGGAGGAGAGTGTGGTCTGGTACATCCTTAGGCTGACTTACATATGTGTTTTGGGGCATTAGAGAAAATAGTCTCTCATTTAACTGTGCAATTTAATATTTTAATAAAGTTTTATTATTCTAGTTCTCAATATCAATATAGAATGAAAAATATTAATATACTAATGATAATGGTGCCCTACAGCATATATAACCAAGTCAAGTTCAACACTAAATAGGGCTCAGACCTGTTTTGAAATGCTGTTTGGAAAATAAAGGAATCTCTTTAATATAGTATATGTCCTTCCTTCCTTTTCTTTAAGAAAGTTTTTAGCTTAGGCTTTTGGAAAATGCCTGTTAATGTTTATATAGAAGTTTTCCTGTGCCAAAACCCTTTTCCTTTCCATCAGTAGAGTGTAAAACACATGCAATTACAAATCAGACAGAGAAGTCTGTCTGTAAGCAATGTTTGTGTGTGGGATGCCCTAGAGTCCATGTTTGCATTTCAACCTCTAACTCACACAGTGAGAATGGAAAGCGATGTAATCTTCCCCTTAGCTCCAAGGACTCAAAGACATGCCTACGCAATAGCAAAGTCACTCCAGAAACAGCAGGCAGGGGACTACACAGGAGTGTGTCAACTTCATGTGGTCATATGCAAATATGTATGTATATGCACCACATATATCCACTAGTATGCATACATGGAGAATTTTGAAGATGTATTTATTTTTAGATACATGTGCATTTTGCTTGTATGTATGTCTGTGCACCACTTGTGTGTCGGGGCTGACTGAGGCCAGAAGAGGGCATCAAATCGTCTAGAACTAGAGTTACAGGCAATTGCGAGCTGCCATGTGGGTGCTGGGAATAGAACTCATATGTCTTCTGGAGGAGCAGCCAGACCTCTTAAATGCTGAGCCATCTCTTCAGTTACACTTAGGAGAACTTTTTAAGATGTGAATCTTTTAGGGGACAGTGAGATGACTCAGTGGGTAACTGACAACCTAACAACAGTCTCTCGGTCCATCGATCCTCGGATCCCTGTGTGGGAGGAGAGACTGACTCTGGAGAGATGTCCTGTGACCTCTACTCCCACTCCCTGGCCAATGTGCACCTGCATTAAAACACACAACAGAGACACCCAAGAAGAAAGAACACCCGAGAACTTGTACAGGTGGTAGTGACAAAGACCTTTCTCGAACTGAACCCTTTTGAGTTGGCAGAAAGATCTCCAAATACATTATCAGCACCCCTCAAAAGGTCCTCTTTACTACAATGCTCCTATCGGGACTAATCAACAGCAGAAATAGGTTCTGCTTGTATTTAACATTTATAGACAGTTTATGTATTTTTCATGTTAGCTCCCTTCAGAATTCTCAGAGATTAATGACTGAATTATTTCTTCCAGTAATTCCGTCCAAATAGTAAAATGATAATTACCTTATAGATGGTCTATATAAAGAGATATATACGTACATAGACAACACTAATTTTAGATAATACTTTATCAGAAAAGAAACCCTTGAGTGTGTCTTGGGTATATAAATGAATAGGAACGATAGCACTCTTTCTTTAGATTCTGAGAATGATTTTATTTTATGGGTAGTGGCATGTGGACATATTGTATTTGTGTGTAAAGAGGCTGGATTGCCCTTGGTAAAAAGAGAGGCTTGGCTGTAAGAACAAGAAGCACCACAGATATTTGGTTCTTTGTACGAAGTATTCACTAGATACCGGAACGAAGTGAATAGGCAGGGAGATATGACTGCTGCCCTCTGAACCCAACAGCCTACTGGAAGAGGCAGATGTGGGCCAAGTATTGAACATGTAATAACAGTTACAAAAGAGGAAACCCCCAGATGATTGGGGAATTAGAAATAAATAAATAAAAATGGCCTTCCAGGAGCTCTTAAGAGAAGTTGCAGCACAGTGGTTCTCCGCTGAAACCCAGGTCATTTGCCCACACACCACTTGCCTGAGCATCTGCCGTGTCTGCATTCTTCTCTCTGGGGTTCCTCTTTTCTGTGGCCCCGGGTGTGCATACGTTAAGACAACCGCTCCTACGTCTGTGCTTCTCATTAACACTACCTGTGAGATAACAGCTGGAGGGTGACCTAGAACCATCTGTATACAAGACGTACTGATGACGTCAAGAGGCGGGAGGGATGGCCTTTTACCACACCTCGAGGGAGCAACCGAGAGACGGAAAACTGTATAACAAGGTATAGGCCACGATCTTCCCATGAGAGCAGGTGGTCAGGCAGTAAAAGGGCAGGAGGGCAGTCCTCAGGATAGGTTCATGGTCATGGGCATTCCTAGAATGCTCGCTAGTGCTGTCGAGCCCAGAGCTATTCTGCAAGGAGAGCGCATTCGTCACACGAAGTCACTTCCTTCTCGGTTGCCATGTGTTACTAAGAGAGCAGGGAACATCCACACGTCTGGCTTAGGTCTGGGCTTTAGCTGTGGTTAAAGCTTCCCATCATCCATCATGCAGTGTCAGAACCCGCCCTGAACTTCTTCTCAAAGCCATGCTCTGAATTCATCCTTTCATGACAGATGGGAGAGGCAGCTGGTCTTCGCTCAGGAAAACTGCCTGATGTTTCTGGTTGGAGTTCCTGACTTCTGTTTGTACTCATTTTTGTCTTTCCTCTCCTTCCCCCAGTGGCTGAGTTCCTGAGCTTGCCCCTAGCCTTTTTTTTTTTTTTTTTTTTTTTTTTTTGACTGTGGATGCTCTGAAGGTTTCCAAAAGCATCCAACACTGACATACACCCAACTCCACGCAGGCAGCTCTTGCCCGGTATCCTGCCCCGTGTCCATAGCAACCTTCCTGGCCGGGGTCACCTAGCAATCTTCAGCACAGTTACTAATTTCAATTTAGTTTTCAATTTTACTGAAGTTAAAAACCACGGTTGCTGAATACCACGGGTCGAAGGAGGAGTGCCAAACGTTTTATTCAGAAAGTTGTGGAGGCTATGGCCGTGTTTTACAAAGGGACACTGAGCTCACAGTCTGCCGTCCTTGCTTTCCTGTTCATGAACACGCCTTCTGGGTTTTGCTCTCAGCAGCTCCCAGCGCACATGGTCCCCCTGTATAAAGGCTTTCTGTGAAGAACACTATTTTCCTTAGTGTGGCATTAACCAAGAGAATTTTCTTCAGCCTTAATTTCTACTTTGCAGGGGTGAGGGGTGGGTACTTAAGAAACATGAAAACAAAGCAAAACAAAACAAAAAAACCTTTCTATTTCTCAAGGCCTTGACTAATAGTGTTTAGCTGCCTGTTATGTTGCTCTGATGGAGTAAAGTTGCCAAAATTATCAGCGTTTTACTGAAAATTGTTTGTGTTTTACTCCATAGGGCAGAGTTTTCTCATTTTATTTGACATTCTCTCCTATGCACTTTTATAGTAAATCATTTGAAGCCACCTCCACGCCTCTTGAAATGAAATTCGGTGTACATATATTTTTGCCTACACATAAAACTTCCATGAAATCAATATCCTGCCATAACTATACTGTAAAATAGTAATAAAAGGGGAGTGATTTATGATAAAACAAGCTTCAGTAGAAGACATAATGAAGCCATGATATGTTGGCATTTTTATGTGGTGTTGTCACCTCAGACACACAGCTAGGAATGAAGGGGGCAGGTTCGTCTTAGTGTTGACCCGAGAGCTTGACCAGGCTTGGCTTTGGTGCTTTGGGTTTGTAAAATGGTGATCCGGTCTTGGTCAACATTTTAATTGCATTGTATTTCTTATCAAATCCTGTGTTACCGAAATCCTGGCAAACTCATTGTGTATAACAATGATGGAAAAATTACTTCCTGTGCAAATAAAATGGAATTCCAGCATAGTTCTGTATGATGGGCTTCATGTTATTTCTGTGGCTGTGATAAAATGTCTGGGCTGGCTTACAGTTCCAGGTTGCAGTGCATCATAACAGGGAATTCACAGTCCAACCAGACTTAGGTGGTCCTCCACTGAGACAGCTTTCCCTGGTTATTCTGGGTGATGTCAACTGGACCATTAAAGCCAAACATCACAGTAAGATATATATGCTTTTCATCTAGTTTATTATTCATCAGCTGCCAACAAGACATTTGAAGGCTTGTAGGGCATATACTTCTTCTTTTTTCTGGATACCTAATGGCAACTGTCGTGACACCCTTAGAAATACTTCCATCAATTTCCAGACTTTCTCCAAACCAAAGAGTGGTAAACAAAACACGAACTCATTGTAAGCACAGATTTTCCTCGTCCTCATTTGTACCCACAAGATTTCTACCATCATAATACACGTGTTTTCTGATTCAAATGGACTATGGTAAAATTTTCTAGAGCCCTGGTAATGTATCAGACATCTCCATAGATGTTCCAAGAGAGTTTGATTACCTACTGTGCACTTGTGATTTAACCTCCTGTGGTTGCCTTGACTATCTTTCAAAATATTAATGTAGCCTGCTTATCTGGCCATGTTTTAAATAACACTGTATACATTTCTACTATGGAAACTCAACCTTCATGAAAGCTCTTTCTTAGGAAAGTGGCAAGATGAACTAGATTCATAAATTAAGTCTTGGAGATGGGGTGTGTGCAGAGTTGTTGCAGGAGTTTCTCTCCAGCCTGGTCCCACAGCCGCTTTGCCCCAAATAAGCA